GTAAGGGGCAACTACAATATCATTTAATTTGGAATTTACTATTTAATAATAAAAAATCAATTTCTTGATGAGCAACCCACCCCCAAAAAAGTATCAATAACTTTGAAATCATTAATCTATTTATAAAATAGTAAAATTAGATGGATGTTTACAACAATATCACCAATACTGCTTAATATTTAGGGACATATGAATGTGAATAAAACGCATTTAAATGATATTCATTCAAAGAAGTGAAGAAGGAAGAAAATCATTCAAACAGCTGCTAAGAAAAACAATCCATGCCAAACAACATTTGCAAATGCATCCATCCTCTGAAGTAAGAGAAGAAAAATATATCGTGCATAGTTACAATCAATTGATAATTTAATCAAGACTCCAAAGCCCATCCAAGAGAAGAAACATGAAAAGAAAGGAGAATAATGGGACCATCCTAAGTATGGAAGTCACCTCCAAGTTAAGTGACGTTTCTTTTGATCGATCATGGTTACGGATTTTAAGTCTAAGCTCCTCACAGTGCGTGTAGACTCGCTAAAATTTATCTTTAGGAAAAAGGTAGGGAAACATGTACATAACATAATGGTATGTTTGAATTATGTGAATTGGGAGATAGAAATAGGAAATGTAGGTTGAAATTATAATTTTGGGCATGTTAATGTGTCAATTTCAAGTCAATTAGAATACTCATAGATTTTTAGTTCATTCATTTAGTAGCAGTTTGAATATTTTTTTATTCTAATATAGATTAATAATATATTAATAATTATGAAATYAGTAATAATAATAAGTATATTATTATTACTATTATTTACTAATAATATATTCTTATTATGTGTATTGATTTTGAAATCAATAATATTAAATTATTATTATTATGAAATAATTAATTTGTTATAATTATGATTTTTAGTTAATTCCTGAAATAACAATTGCTTTTATATTTCTTTTAGTTTAACAATAATGGATAATTGAGTTTATAATTTAACTTTAACCAAATGAAATATTTATTGGAGAATAATAATAGTATTGATTATAATTAATTATAATAATAATGTAAATAAGTAACACTAATTATACATTCATAAAATAATTAATATGAATTAATATAAATATAAAATGATTTTATCCAGATTAATAATTAATATTATTATAATACTTATTAATTATTATCATTAATTAATTAACATTCCGAAGTAATAATTATCATTGTTATAATGAAGGAACTAATTGCCAGTAAGTAATTATATCAATATTTAAATTTTAATAGAAATCATTCTTATTAGTAATAATTAATTGTATTTATTGATAATAATAATAATATAAATATATAATTATATTAATTAATATAAGTATTAATTATAATTACTGATAATAATAATATAATTAATTATTTCATATAAATGTATGAATTATAATTTCTAATAATAATTCTAATATAAATAATTAACATTAAATATTTATTTTCAAAATAGTTAATATGAGTTAATATAAATATAAAATGATTATTTTTTGAATTATTAATTACCATTATGAAAATCGTTATTAATTATTCCGAATTAATAATGAGAAATATTATCAGTAAGTATTTAATACCAGTAATTAAGTATTAGCAGTAATTATTATAAGAAATTATTATCAGTAATTAATTATTATCAGTGAGTTATTATTATTAGTAATTAACAGCTGAAATTAATTAGTTAGGAGTCATTAATTATTATTAGTACTCTTCTCTTTCAAAAAGTTGACTCATCATCATCGTCATCATCAATGACAACAACTTGATAAATAGATAATTGATAAAAATAGGTAAATATCATTAATTTATTTTTTTATCTTTTGAAAAACTGAATAAGAGAAAAATAAAATGATTAACATTGCAAATGAAAAAATATTTGGACTTTTGCAAAAAAAAAAATTATTGAACATAAAAAACCAATTATTCAAAAATAAGGTCATTAATCAAAGAGTATTTAAAATTATTTAGTAAATAATAATTTTAAGAAATTAAAATTATTAATTAATTATCTACTAGATTTAAAATGGGTAATTTCAGAAAATAATTTTAAGTAATTAAATTTTGCCTTTAACATTTTTTAATAATAATCAGTATTACTAATAGATTAAAAATATATTAGTAATTATGAATTTAGTAATAATAATACATATATTATTATTATTAACTAATAATAGATTCTTATTATGTATGTATTGATTTTGAAATCAGTAATATTAAAGTGTTATTATTATTACTATTATTATTATTTTATTTTTATTAAGTAATTTGTTATAAATATGATTTTTAGTTAATTCATAAAATAATATTTGCTTTTATAATTCTTTAAGTTTAACAATATTGAATAATAGAAAGTTTTATAATTTAACTTTCACTAAATGAAGTATTTATTGGAGAATAATAATAAAATTAATTATAATTACTTGTAATAATAATAATGTAAATATGTAACACCAATTATATATTTATAAAATAGTTAATATGAATTAAGATTAATATAAAATGATTATATCCCAACTAATAATTAACATTATTAATTATCATTAATTAATTAACATTATTAATTATCATTAATTAATTAACATTCTGAAGTAATAATTATCATCATTAGTATAGTAATAATTAATTATAATTATTGATAAAAATAATATAATTATATTGACTAATATAATATTATTAATTATAATTACTTATAATAATATAATTAATTATTTTATATAAATGTATGATTTATAATTTCTGATAATAATTATAATATAAATAATTAACATTAAATATTTATTTTCAAAATAATTAATATGCCTTAATATAAATATAAAATGATTATTTCTGAATTATTAATTATCATTATGAAAATATTTATTTATTATCATTAATTAATCATCATTTCGAATTAATAATGAGCAATATTGTGAGTAATAAATTATCAATAATTAAGTATTAGCTGTAATTATTATAAGAAATAAGTTTCAATAATTAATAACTGAAATTAATTAATTAAAAATAATTAATAGTAATTTTTAGTAATTAATAATTAATAGTTGTAATTAATTAATAATAATTATCACATGTGTGATTGTAAGGGGCTTTGACATGAAATCATTACTTTTACATATATATATATATATATATATATATATATTAGAAGCCCTCTTCCCCGAGGACCCCGAGAAGCTTGCTCGTGAGATGCGACTTGGGAGGAGAAATCTCTTCTCAAAATTTGGGACGCGGGGTCTCGCCCACTAGGTAGGTGCGACCCCAATGAGAAACGAAACTTCTCCGGCTCAGTCTTCTTCTTTTAAGAAGGTAAGGCCTTCTTCGGTCATCATACCTTCATTTCCATTTCAAACTATTTAAAGCTTTTCTGTATTTTCTTTGCCGGAATCTCTCTCTCCAGTCGAGCTTCAGATCTCCAAATGGCAAATAATCAGATCGTCGTCTTTCAGGATTTTCTTGCAAAATAGATTCCGGTGGAAGCAAGTTCCATTCTGAAATGACACTTGCCCTAACCATTCCATCATAAAAAGTCTTTTTTCTTCATTTTTTCGATGAAAAACCGACTCCGGCGAGTCTTTTGTTTCCAGTAGAGAATACAAGGTTTTTTGAGTAAACATAACTAGTTTCATCTTTTTGATAAATTTTAATGTCTCAGAGCAGCTTCTAATTTCTGGTTCCGGTTGAAGGGATCAGAGACGCCGATAGTTTCAGTTTTTTGGGTTAACTACAAACGTCCGGTTTTGAGTAGGTTTTCATTTTTTTTGGATTTAACAATCTAGTGAATTAATAGGTATAGACTGTTCTTTTCGAGGAATTCCAGATTACCAGAAAGAAATGAACTTGTTGAGATTGCCATTTCTTCTTAAAATTTATGTGAGGCGTTATTATTATTTCTCAGTCAAACTTATCTGAGTTTGATTTTGTTCTTTCCCAAATAGAAATCCTGGGTATTATTATCTGATTGCAGGAAACAAGATGAGCTTTAAATGGAGGAACAGGGGTGATTTGTGCCTAAAACTCTTATTTTTGTTGCATTTACCATTTTGTCAATTGCGAGGAGCAAAAGGAGGAATTTGAAACCTCATGAATAAGCAGTTTATGCAAACTGCAAGTAATTTCTGGGTTTGGGTGGTTTTGTGAGTTCTTAAAATTTGTTTTCCATTGCTATATTAATAGCCTAAAAAATCTCTTTCTTGTGCCATCTGAGTTTTTCCCTTTCCCCTTTTCTTTTGAGCAGCTGCAAGCTGGCCTCTAGACGTTTAATTGCTTTTCTTAGTCTGTTAAAGAGGGAAAGGGGTGCGTTTCTCTTGTCTCTTTAGCAATGGTTTGGCTCCATTAATGCAACTTATGAAATTGAAGAATCCTATAAAATTTTCTCAACAACCAAACACTAGGAACATATTTGATGGGATAACTGGTCTCAACAACCAAGCATAGTGTGGCAAGAATTAGAAAATAAATTTTCCCTTCCCATCCCATCCTTTCTTGGCAATCAAACGGATCATAAGAAAAATATCCAACCACTTGGGGAGCATTTGCGGCAGCAAAGTGTCTTCCGGCGATAGCCATGGAAACTGTAAGTCCTTCCTTATCCTCTTGCTTTATTATCTTTATTTATTTATTGCTTTGTGTCCAATTTCCTTTTTGACAGAAACACGAGGAGCACATTTAACCACCATTTTGATCGTTCATGGTATTTGACATAAATACTGGGTTCTGTACAAGTAGATTAGATTCCGGTGCAACAATGAAGAAATGTCCCTTGATCCTCGTTGAACTAGAGTCCTTTATGTGGATAACAGTAGTTTCATACTGATTCAAAAAAGGTATTTTTTTCGTAATTGTAATGCCGAAGGATTTTCAGTAGTTGCATTTGATATTTTGCGTTTTAGTATTCCCCATGAAAAGTGAAACTCCTAACCTAATCAGTCCTAAACCCAACCCACCAATAGGCATCCATGCTATTCTGTTTCCCAAATCCCCTCCAATGCATATAACTTCGTTAAGGAATTTTGGCTTTTGGTGATTTCCCTCTCACTGGATCTTCTCGTTTCACAAACTTCTTTACCCGTCCTCAACTTGTCTTTCCTAAAATTGAAAAGGCTGTTGCTTTGGTGACTGCAATTCCTTTCTTTTTATTTTGACTATAGTTCTGAAAGAGTTGGGTTCAATTGGATTGTGCTATTTCGCCTTTTCTAATTTTTAAATTTATAATTTGCTTTTACCCCAAGATATTTCAGTGTTCCTTACCTGGGTTCAATTGAAATTCTTACTATTGCTATTGTTATTTTATTTCTGATTCTATGACTAAGCAGCCAAACCTGACCTTGCATATGGGACGGAACTCTTTTCTTCAACAAAAGAATTTATTTGTTTAGTAAGATGACACGAAAGAGAGACGAACCTCCTGCTGTTCGTGTATATACAGTATGTGATGAATCAAGGTGCTTTATATCTTCATTATCTTAAACATTCTCAATTTTGACATCTAAATCTCTTTAGAGTTTAGAATGTGATTAAAATCAAGGTATCAAGTTCAAATTTTCAATTAGATAGAAATACTCATCCTAATATACTCCTTTTACAATTCTTTCTTTCATTCTATTCATTCCATATGATATAAAATCAGATTTTTTTCATGTTTTAATTGTTTATTTAATCTTTTCTTTTTTAACCATAGGGGTAAATTTTTTGTGGAGGTTAATTTAACTATTTTATCCAATCCCTTTTGTTTGTTTTGGTGTTTGCAGATATCTTATAGTTAGGAATGTACCAGCACTGGGATGTGGCAATGAACTGTTGAAATTATTTGGATCCTATGGGAAGATAGAGGAGTAAGTCCTCCATATCATTAATTATTAGATTCTATTTTTTTGAGAAAGAAACGACTAATTTTGAAATTCGTGTTGTCTGGACTTGAACACTGTGCCACCACTTGGCTCTTGGCATGACACTGGTTGTAATATGATGATGATAGTCCAAATGTCCAATCTTAAGGATCATTAAAGCTGTTACCCAATGTTGGTCTTTGGTAGGGTTGGCAAGATATGAATGTAACCTTTGGAACATTTTGTACAAAGTAGACACTCTCAGACCTAAACCTACATTGCCATGCTTGTCAGCTTGAGGTTTTACCATAGCACCAAGCAATGTCCCCATAGACAAGTTTCATTACAAAATATTGGCACTTAGAACTCTTAGATAAGGTATAATGACAATGAGCATGTTTCATTCAGGCATTTTGGTTTTCCAAATTTTAATTTTATCATCTCAATTATTTTTTGATAGCTATTTATCTTCTCAACTATATTTGAAATATTATTTATGAATCTAATATCATATACATCCATGTAGTTGTGCCATCATTTCTAGAGGTTGACATGTCATATTTGCAGGGACCTAGTACTTGACAAGGATGCTACATGCTAACATAACCTGAATCCAAGTGTTTTAGCATGTATGGAGAACCCATCTAAGATAAATTATTGGATTGTAGTTTTGCATGATGAATTATTGGAATTATAAAATGGTCTTGTGAGTAAAGGCTGCCATCAGTTGTCATAAACAGGCTACTTTTCACTTACTTAAACTAAATGCATGTTGTCTGTCTAGTTTTTGGTGTCACATAAAGAAGGAGGTTGGGGGGGATTTAACGTTGATGGAATATTATCTTTTCCTTTCTGAACAAAAACATGCCTTGAAGCGGGGATTAGAAATTTTATTAAAAGTAAGGATAAAGGAAAGTTTTAGAACATGAGATTTGTGTCTGAGAGAAAACACATTGTGCAAAAAATTCTATAGGTTAAAACTTATCCGTCCATCCCTCCCAACAGCCAGGAGCAATATTAATTCGGTAATATTCCTTTTTTGGAAAAGAAACGATGCTCTCACCAAAAATTTTAATTTAGATGTCACCCCACTCTGAAAACCTGAAATTCTACATGCTTCTTTAGTTCTCTTGTGGAGGTCTAGTTGTCTAGAATGTTTTGTTTTCAACGGAACAGGAATCCTTAACTTCTAGTTATTCACGTCTCATGTTTGAATAATTCTTTGAAATAATTGAGTAGCTCCCTATGTCGGTATATGCTCTCTGTGGCCACCCCCACCTGATCTTGAAGCAAAGAAATTTGTAGAATGTCTACTCATAATTCATGCCCTTCTCATAGGGAGCCAGTTCCTCACTTGCTGATCCATTTCATTAAGGTATCTTTATTGAATAATAGCAGGTGAAAAAGGTATAGGAGGAGGAGGTGGGAGAGCAGTATACAGCTTTGTTCCTTTTGTAGTTGGAGAATTTGGAAGGAAAGAACTAGTCAACATCTTGAAGGAAAAAGGAACTTGGATTCTATTGTCAAAGGTCAAAGGAAAGGTGGACCTTTTGCTCCATTTTGGGTCCACTATTTTAAGGAGTTTAGTGATTTTGACTTTAATAGATTTTCTTATAATTGGCAGAAGATGTTATTTGATCCTTCTTGCAATTGATTAGGGAGAACAACCTTGTGTATGAGATAGAGAATAGATCATGCATATCTTTGCATATGGTGGTTGGCCCTAACCAGGTCAAGTAGGGACCTTCCCTGCATGACCTACCCTAACCAGTCAACATCTTGTATGAGTAGCCACCTTTTTGCTCCCCTAGTCCACATTAGTTCCAGTTGTGTATTTTGCCTATATAATGAGGAATTTTAAGCTCAAATATTTCCCATGAATAGAGGTTGGCAAAAGTAACTGAATGCGGCTCATGCCACATTGAAGTTTCTCAGTTGTGTATGACTTCTTCACTATGACTTGACTAGCAAGCCTGCTTTATATATGTAGGTACATACATATGAAGCATTATTGTTTTCTTTATCTTTTTCTCTTTTTTTCCTTATTTTTTCGTTGCCAGGGGTGCTGTCAAGTAGAGTAGGCAAATGATTAACACAATTATATAGGAGATTGAACAAGCTATGGATGTAATGTACAACTGCAGAACTTGGAGACAAATATGAACTGACTAGAGGGACATAAGTTTATGATGAAACCTTAATAGAAATGACAGAACACTAAAATAACCATGCTGCCCAAGAGTACAAGACAATAAATAAAAATCAGCCAAATCATATTTGTAGTTGCTTGCATTCATCTGTATCAATTTCATGGGAAATTCCTTTGAGATTTTCCCTTTTCTTTTCTCTTTGTGTACTATTTGTTTGGTATTGTCAGTAGCCAATTACAAGTCATTTGGCTTTGTCAGGTTTAAGCCCATGGATGGAGAAGACTGTGAGCCATTTACTGATGTTTACTGGATCAAATTTTTATTAGTTAGCAATGCCAGGTGAGTCTAATTAATACCAATATATGCTAGATCTTGTGACATGCTTCCTATGACATAGCTGGTACGTAGGCAGACAAGTCCATGTTATTACCTTGCTATATTCATATGATGTTTTGTTTATTGAACTTCATATGCAATAAGATAATGTTATGGTGTATTTGAACTGCTGACAAGTTCTTTTGCAGGTTTGCAAAGAAAAAACTGGATGAGTTTGTTTTCCTAGGAAATCGACTACAAGTCTCTTATGCTCCTCATTTTGAGAGCCTTTCTGACACAAAGGACAAATTAGAGGGAAGAATAAAGGAAGTTCTAGCACGACTAAATTGTGAGTACTCTGAATGGGATACAATCCATAGAAGAAAGAGAATTTTTTTCCTTTGATTTGAAGTTCTAATGAGATTTTATTCTTTCAGAATTTATCTCTAATTTATTTTATATTCCTAGTTGCAGCAGGAAGGTTGAAAGGGTCTTCATCTCAAACCCCAGGTGCTGTCAAAGAACCTTTAGTCTCTCCAGCTCCATTACAGGTCAACTACATTTCTGAAGGGATTAATTTTACCCAAAGGTAACTGCTGTTTTTTTGTGTTAATTTATGCTTTGCGTCTCTGTTTAGGAATGCTTCTTAAGTCTTGAAATAAATAGTGTTTTCTCCTTGTGATGATTTTGTCCCTAGGGGGAATGAAGAAATAGAAGGGACTTCTGAGATGAAAGACCCTCTCATCACAAAAGTGTCCTTTAACCAGGTATATTGCAATAGTGTGTCATGTTGTGTTTGGTACTTTACATGGATGTTTGTCAATTCCATTACAATATTAAACTTGGTTGTGGTCTCATCATTCGTTTAGATTGTGCTTTGTGCATTGCTATGTTGGACAACTTGTGCCACTTTTGTTCTTCCTTGTGCTTTGATGAATGGTGGTCATCTATTACTTTGAATGCTTATTAGCAGTATTTGGCTCAATGTAGATTCAATGGTCAATGTTATCAGGTCCTTTTGTAAATTGGCTAGGTTGAACAGTATTAACAACCAAAATCTTGGTCCAGGTTTGTATTATTATCATATTATGTTACCTAGCAGATAATGAGTTTTTTGCGACATTAGTCTTAAATTTTTTATTAATTGGTCAAGGCACTATTCTTTAATCTGACAGTTATGCTTTACCCTATTTGCATTGTGACTAGAATGAACCTATATTTTCCTGATTGTCTAATCAATGGCCCACTTCATAACCAAGTCCCAAATGTCACACTGATTAGGGCTTTTTGGCCTTAAACGTCATTTACTATTATTATTTTCAGTAGTCAATGACAACATTGTGACTTTTTCCTTGGTCTAACAGAATCTATTGAATAGCCAGATTGTTCAACTTCCTGAACTAAAAAGGTTTTTTGTTCTTGGCATGTATAATCTCAGGATTATTTCCCAACTCCTTCAATGAATGAGACAGTTCGGCTGGTCAGGGAGAAGCTTGATAAGGTGAAAAAAGTTACCTCGTGAATCATGTCTCTTATTTACAACTTTTGGGAAACATCTTTTCTAAAAAAGTTAGCTCATTTCTTTCAGATAAAATCAAGTGGTGAACGTATAGAAGCTGAACCTGCATTGAAGAAAAAACGAGTGGACAATAGAAGAAGGATTTGATGATTGGTGTCTACAACTGTAGTTGGGAATTCCCGGGGGAGGCTCTAACCCCTCCACTTGGTGTACTTTTCTGACACTGGTGCTTAGTGCAAAACCCTTCAATTATGGTTTTCAGCGACCTACATATCATTTTACGTGGAAAATATCCATTGTGCAGTCTCTTATTTCTTTTGAATGAATGTATCTGATGCGTTATTCATTGATTGTAATATTTACATTGAAGTAAATAAATGAATATCTCCCTTCTGTTTGATTTTTCTTTTCTTGTTTCTGTAGTTGTAATAGGTGATTTGCAGGATGACTATAGGATGTTGGATATTTCGTTATGGAATAAAACAAAAAAAAAGTTTACATGAAAAAGGAATTCATACAGGGAGAAAATTTGCATGGAAAAGGAGAAACAGGATAATATGTCACATCAAATTTATTGTGGATGCAGTTATGACTAATAAATTCCATCGTCATCATGTGCATGTCTAAGATACTGGGGCTTGTGACACCGGAAAAGATGAAGAGGCTGGCCTGAGAGAGAGATTAGAGGGAAGAGAGCAGAGAGACCCAACCTACTTTGTAGCAAGCATGGTTTTTGAACCGCCGTTGATTCAGACAGTCGGACTGTTTGGTTTGGGAATTGTGTAGGCAATCAGTTCAGTTTTATCCTAAATCTGGTTCTTGGACAAAAGCCGTCGAATCAATCACCTATTGACTCGGGTGATCGAATCATCAATTTGTTCAATTGTTTTGACCGTTTTTAAATTTTAATTATTTTTCATCTTTTAATTTATTTTGTTAGAATGGATTGACTGTTCGAATTAAATGATTAAACCGTTGATCTAAAAACTGATGGTCAAAATGGTTTCGATTCCAGATCGTTTTTTTTAAAAGGCAAGAGCAAACCCATTATAATGTAGAGTAAATATAAATTTTGGGAAGATGGTCATTCCTTCATTATTTTAACAAGTTGCTTTAGTGTTGTATCAGCAAAGGTCTGACACTTTATTAAATATGATGCCTATTTGGTTTCTTCCCTTATTCACCAAATTTATCAATGAGCATAATTCGGCTTCAAACCCCTTTCGACAGTATAAAACAAGGTACCTTACCATAGGGAACAAATTTCAGGCTTGCTTACAGGCATAGACTAGAGGTCTAAACTAAAACAACGTACATTTTGTTCCTAATTTTTTGTAGGACGAGGCTGATGTTAGTTGGGGGAGAACGGAGATGAGCTTCAGTGCTCACAAGTCACAAGACCACGTTTACTTTACATTTTGCACAGCCATTTACACAGTGTATTAGGAATATGTTATTTTTCATGGGGAAATATTCTCAATGCAAGACTGCAAAGGACTGTGCAAATAGTGTGAGCACTGAAACCAATTTCGGGAGAGCACCACCATTAGATAATGGCATAACGTACCCATACCAAGGATTTGAATGACCAATCGCTTACCAAATTTTAAAAACCGGACTGGACATGAAACTATTTTGGGGACCGGTTCTTGGGTCAAATGGTCCAACTGTCCAATTCAAACTGATGGCTCATTCTAATTTAAAAAATAAAATAATTAAAATAAAAAAAAGTCAAAACCATTGTCCGGGTTGATGGATCGATGATTCAACCACCCAGGTCTGTGGGTGCTGACTAAATCAACGGTTTTGGTCCAGGAGCGGTTTTAGGATGAGCAGAACTGATTCCGATTGCCTGACTGGTTCCTGGGTCAACCAGTCTCACCATCTGGTCCGGTTTTCAAAACCATGATATGAGGTATGACCAATCCAAATATGTCCAATTTGATGAATAGGCCGGACAGGCCAAATCATCCTTCAATGTAGCAAAAGTAAGCTGCAGGTCCAGTGTAGGGTAGTCCTGGTTGACCCAGATAAGAAATCATTTTCCTTTCCTGTTTACTATATTATATATATGGTTGTAACTATTGATTTGCCCTATTATACTTTCCCATTGTAAAGTGTTCAAATAATTGTCATTTCTTTCTCTCTCATACATAGATATAAATATAAAAGTCATTAATTGTCAAATAAAAGTCATTTCCTTCTCTCTCTTAACAGCATGGCCGGTTCCCATTTATACACTGCTCTAGCAAGTGTGAAACATGGATGCCTACCTACCAAGGAGGAGGCTAAGTTCTAAATACAACAATTGGGACAAAGGAATAATCACCAAAACTCCATTCGAGTTTGCTATTTGCTCCACATGTATTTCACATTATCCAGGGATTCAGAACGCAAATTCAAGCAAAAGGCTATGAATAACTTTTCCATTCCATATATTTGGTTTGAACTTTCCAGGAGTCAGGACATGTACACCTGAACACTAGCAGTCTTTATTGACTGGCAGACAGGGCAGACATCAATAAACCCTTCACAGTATACACACAAGCACAAATGCCTGCAAGGCAACAACAGCATGGAAACTTCCTTATTTTTACATGCTTTGCAAGTCATCTGTTCCCTTAACCCTTGATGGTTAGTCCCAGATCCACCTGGAAAACTCAGTAAATTGTTCTGGTCAATGTAAGAGGATGCTGCATCATCTACTTCACTGTCACCACAGCCTTCCTTTCCTTGGTCAGCACCTTGTGCAATGGTCTGTTTGAGATTACTCTTGAGGACATTGACTACCGACTCATTGTACTTTGCTTGGTAGTGCCAGGATTGGGCTTCCATGGTCACCTGTTTTATTCTCTCAACCAGTTCCTTGTTCATCCTGTTCATATTTTCTATCTCAAGCTCCTTCTTTCGCAGCTTCCTGCCAACTCCTTTTTCTATGGCATTCAGGAAAGAAACCATGTGCCTTTGCTTCATCTCCCTCACTCCCTTTGCGATGTGTTCTTCCTATTTGATGAGAAACCAAGAACAAAATACAGTGAGTTTGAATGGTAAAGGTGCAGAAAGCAACAATCAAACTACCATCAAGTATTTACCACTTCATCCTTGCCTAAACTACAAAGTGAGTACTTATATATGATGAACATTGACCATAGATGAAAAACCATAATTTGCAGCACATGCAGCACAATGATACTGACACTAACCAAGGCAGTACTAATAGGCCAAACAATCTGATTAGATCAACACAACATCCACTAGTTGATGGACTTCTTTCTGGCCTTCTTCGTTCTGCCAAAATGTTCATTGATCAACAAATTGGATGCAAAGTGGTCAGGTGAATATAATGTATAGTTGTACCTGAATTCTTATATAATGATCAAACTCTTCCTTCTGGCAATCAAGTTCAGTCCTGAGGCTGTCGCCAAGGGACAGAATCACAGGAAGAGCTCCTGTCATATTTCCACTTGCAGAAGTAACAGAGGAGTTGGGTTCATCATCCTCGTATGACAACTTCAACCCAGTTGAGACAGGATTCAAGTTAGGAATGCTTGGAGACCGGTTAGTTTCATCTTGACAAAAGTTAGTATTCAAGGAGATTTGAAACCTTTGCTGCTTCAGAAAATCTTCTGTTTCGCTGCCTCTTTTTGTTGGCTGGTTCATGGGGGAGACTTGCTCATTTCCAACAAAGGTCACTGGATTAACACTGCAACCAGCTTGTACTGTGCATGGATGGCAGGTAATTGCTAAACAATTAGTCCAACAATAGAACAATCAAGCAAGACAGAATAAATTTGCATGATGTTAGCAAAGCAGATTAAACCAAGGAGTGGAAAAGACAATAAATGTATAATAACTGCATGGAATACACCATATCATAAACTGATATTGTTAAACCAGAATCTGTAAATCAAAACCAAAACACAACAAAAAACATATTTAGAAAAAAAAATGAAACAAAGTGTTGAAGTTCGGCCTGCCCTAGAAGTCTGTTTGTCCGTTAGCAGTCAAGTAAAGCAAGCAAGCAAGAAGAAGGAAGAAAGAGGAAGAAAGAGAGAAAAGGTCTGGGTTTGAATTAGGGAAAAATTCAACCCTACTTTCGGCCAGACCTGTTATTATATTATTAATGTGATAGGAAAAGACATCAGTGCCCTTATTTAAGTAAGAGGCACTCGAATTAACATAATAGAACAACTCAGCAATCTCAACAGGTACAAAGACCGAAATACCCCTTCACTAACACTCCCCCTCAAGCTGGTGAATATATATCATATAATCCCAGCTTGTTACATATGTAGTCCACTCTCCCCCAACTCAAACCTTTTGTAAACAAGTCTGCCCACTGGTTTCCCGTATTAACATATGCAATCTCTATCACTCCATTCAGCACCTTCTCTCTCACAAAATGACAGTCAACCTCAATGTGCTTGGTTCTTTAATGAAACACTGGATTAGAAGAGATATGAACTGCAGCCTGATTGTCACAATAGATCTTCATTGGAGTACTAATGGCATACCCTATCTCCTATAGAAGGTTCCTTAGCCACACTAATTCACAAGCAGTATGTGCCATAGCCCTATATTCTGCTTCTGCATTGCTTCTTGCCACAACTGTTTGCTTCTTACTTTTCCACGTCACCAGGTTACCCCCCAGAAAAGTGCAATAGCCTGTGGTAGACTGCTTATCAGACATAGAACCGGCCCAGTCAGCATTGGTGTATCCTTCTATTTCCAGTTTCCCGCCACTTTTGTATAGCAAACCACGGCCAGGAGCTCCTTTCAAATACCTCACAATCCTTAGCACTGCATTCCATGAGGGACCAAAGGTTTCTACATGAACTGGCTCACCACACTAACCGCAAATGAAATATTTGGCCGAGTAATGGTTAGATAGTTTAGTTTGCCTACAAGTCGTCGGTATCTGTCAGGGTCTTCAAATACTTCACCCATATCACTGCTCAGCCTCGTATTTGTTTCCATAGGTGTCTCAGTTGGTTTCGTACCTAACAAACCTGTTTCTTCCAGCAAATCAAACACATATTTCCTCTGGCATAGATTAATACCATGCTTAGATCTTGCTACCTCTATGCCCAAGAAGTACTTCAATTTGCCAAGGTCCTTTGTCTGAAAGTGTTGTTGTAGAAAGGCCTTCAACCTGTCAATGCTCATTTTATCATTCTCAGTAACAACGATATCATCTACATACACCACCAGTAGTATTTTTCCTGCCGGAGAGTCATGACTGAAGACAGAATGATCAACTTGGCACTGTTTCATACCAAACTTCTTGACCACCTCACTGAACCTACCAAACCATGCTCGAGGGGACTGTTTAAGTCCATATATAGCTTTCTTAAGTCTGCATACCTTACCATCCTCCCCCTGAGCAACAAACCCTGGAGGTTGCTCCATGTAGACCTCCTCGAGCAAATCACCATGCAAAAGTGCATTTTTGATATCCAGCTGATATAGGGGCCAATCATACATAACTGCAAGAGAGATGATAACGCGAACTGACCCTATCTTAGCAACCGGGGAGAAGGTCTCTGTGTAGTCAATACCATAGGTTTGGGAGTACCCTTTCGCTACCAATCGCGCCTTCAGGCGCTCAACACGACCATCAGGCAAGTACTTAACGGTATAAACCCACTTACAACCGACAACCTGTTTCCCAGGAGGAAGAGCAGTGAGGTCCCAAGTGTGATTATGATGGAGAGCAGAGAGCTCTTCTTCCATAGCATGGCACCACTCTGGAGAAGTAAGGGCTTCCAGGACATCCTTAGGGACAACCACCGAGGATAACAAAGAGATGAACTGGCGATGGGAGGCGGAAAGGTGAGTAAGTGAAACATAATTGGAAATAGGATGAAGGGTACAAGTGCGTTTACCTTTCCGTAAGGCAATAAGAAGATCAAGGTCAGAGGCTGGTGGCGGGTCTGGAGCTGGATCTGTCGACGGTGATGAAGCCGGAGGAGTCGCAGCCGGTACACGTGGGCAATGTGTATACATGTGATGGATAGGTGGACGGTCAATGGACGGTGGCACCGGAGGCAAGGACGTAGACACGGCTGGAACAAGAGGAAGAGGATCAGCCACAAGAAGGGGAAGAGGAGGAGGTGATGTGGAGGAAGAAGCATCACCGAACCCCACGAAGAACGGAGTAGACTCAAAGAAGGTAACATCAGCACATACCAAGGAACGACGAGAACTGGGATGGTAACACTTGTACCCTTTTTGAGTCTGGGAATAGCCAAGGAATATGCACTTAAGGGATCATGCATATAACTTGTCATTCCCGGGACCCAGATTATGGACGAAGCAGACACACCCAAATACCCGAGGAGAAAGCGGAAACGGAGACATGKTGGGGAACAAGACAYTAAAWGGAGAACGACCATCAAGAATAGACGTGGGCATCCGATTAATTAAGAAACAAGAGGTGAGCATTGCATCACTCCAAAAGGGTTTGGGAACATTCATGTGGTGCATGAGGGAGCGTGCCGTTTCTAAAAGATGCCGGTTCTTTCTCTCAGCCACCCCATTTTGTTGTAGGGTGTAAGTACATGAAGTTTGGTGTATAATGCCCTGTTGGTCCAAGTATTCTTGAAAAGATGAAGACAAATATTCACGGCCATTATCAGAACGGAAAATTTTAATGTGAATGCCAAATTGATTGCGAATCTCAGCATAAAATTTCTGAAAGATGGTAAATAATTCACTTCTTTCCTTCATTAAATAGAGCCACATCATCCTTGAAAAGTCATCAACAAAAATAACAAAATATTTGTATCCATTATATGACATTACTTTATAAGGACCCCAAATATCTGAGTAAATTAAAGAAAAATGACTCAATGCACGATTATCAACCCTAGAGCTAAAGGGAACACGATGGTGTTTCCCAAATTGACACGACTCTCAATCTAGAACAGAAAGTTGACTCAACGAAGGAACCAAAGACTTTAACACTTTCGGCGAAGGATGACCAAATCTACAATGCCACTGGAGATGAGAGATAGATGATTGAAGGGATGTTGACATTCTTCCACCACCATCAAGATAATACAGTCCACCGGCTTCATGCCCTCCACCAATCTTCATCCCCGTCTTGAGATCCTGAAAACACACATAGAGGGGTAAAATGTAATGGAGCAATTAAGTGACTTGGTCAGCTTACTAGCAGACATAAGATTAAATGGAAGCTTAGGTACATACAAAACTGAGGATAGGGATACAGGGTCCAGGTCAACATTACCAACACCACAAATAGATGATGTGGAGCCATTAGCAAGTGTAACAGATTGTGATGTTGAGCAATGAGTGAGAGAAGAAAACACACGTGGAGTTCCAGTCATGTGATCGAAGGCTCCAGAGTCAATAATCCAGGGGTTGGGTGTGGATGCCAAACAAGCCATACTTGAGTGAGCAAAAGTAGTTGTGTTCTGTTGCGACGTGGATTGAACAAACCTTTCATACTCATCACGAGGAACACTCACCATCTCCTTGCCTAGACCACCTAAAGAGGTAGGAGGCATCTGATCAGCTGAACGGTTCTCCTGTCTAAAACTGGAACTGGTGTCACTAGTCATGGCATGATTGGCCCAGGTCGAGGGTGGACCATGCAAGTCATAGCAGTAATTAATAGTATGTCCATCCAAACCACAATGAGTACACCTCCGTGGACCCGAGCCACGTCCTCTACCACGAGCTCCCCCTGAATCTCTGCCTCCAGTACGACCACCACCACGGGTATGTGTAGATCCACCACTACCACTCCGGCCATATACTGGGCCACTACTGCCACCACGGCCAGAYTGGGCTCCTCGAGCCCCACTTCTAACACCTCGACCTCTCGACACTGCAAATGCTGATCTATCTGAGACATTAGCGTTTTCCATAGATCCAATGGAAGTCCTCCGAAGTCGAGCAAACACCTCCTCTAAAGATGGAAGGGCTGATCGTCCTAGTATCTGGGCTCGTACTGGTTCATACTCGGATTTCAGCCCCACCAGAAACCGAGTCACATCAAGCTGCTCCCTCTGTTGTTGTTGAATCTTGACATCAGGAGTGAGAGGGTGATAGACATTCAACTCATTACGGATGTTTCTCATACTGGCATAGTACTCCTCAAGACTCTGATTGCCCTGTTGCAGATTGAAGTATTCCTGATACAGTTGATATACCCTGGTTGTATTGTCYTGACCAGAATACAATTTCTTAGCATGATCCCACACCTCTTTGGCCGTGTCAAGAAACATGAAGTTCACACTAATTCTGGGTTCCATATTGTTCCATAACCACGTGATGATCTGTGCATCTTCTTGTTCCCAGTCTTCGTACTCATGAGAATTAGTCGGGGGTTTTTCCTCTCTTATGTGCTTCACCTTCTTCTTTGCCTTCAGAAAAACCTCTATAGACTTAGCCCAAGGGACATAATTCTCTCCATTCAGTTTAATGGAGGTCATTTGGACATTCAGGTAGTCAGTAGAAATCATCACATTAGGTTTACTATCACTGTTGTCTCCCATTGCTGAATTCTTTTATCACCGAATTCTGCACACTACACACTGCACACAGACACTTCACCGAATTCTGCACACTGATTTCAGCAATAATAAGTGCTGAAAGTTGCACTTGTAACACCACAGATCCTACTCTACAGCTACCTGAAGTTTCACCACTATGTGAACACCACTTCCCTTCGAATCACACACAAACCAGCATAAACCCTAGCATAAACCCTAGCACACTACAATCTGAAACCCCTCCATACGATCTGTACCATACCTCTTATGTGCTTCATAACAGAAATTATGCATAAAAGAAACTCCTTACCTCATCGCTTGAAGGACAACCACACGAAGAAAGAAAACACCCATTGCACCACACGTACCAGCCCTACATTGATTAGGGGAGGGCTTAGAAAACACAGCAACCGATCACACATGACACAACCGGAGGCATAGACACCTCCAAGGGAAGAGGGCGATCACTCCTTTTCAGCCCTTTTCCCAATCTCCAATCAACGGCTGAGAAATCAAAGAAAAAAACCTAGGTCGAATTCACAGAAGACAGAATTCTAGGCAAGTCAGATTTGTTTAATTAGGCTCTGATACCATGTTGAAGTTCGGCCTGCCCTAGAAGTCTGTTTGTCCGTTAGCAATCAAGTAAAGCAAGCAAACAAGCAAGAAGAAGGAAGAAAGAGGAAGAAAGAGAGAAAAGGTCTGGTTCGAATTAGGGAAAAATTCAACCCTACTTTCGGCCAGACCTGTTATTATATTATTAATGTGATAGGAAAAGACATCAGTACCCTTATTTAAGTAAGAGGCACTCGAACTAACATAATAGAACAACTCAGCAATCTCAGCAGGTACAAAGACCAAAATATCCCTTCACTAACACAAAGTAACCAAGAACATTGCTTTCCCTCCATCCCTATGCTATCTCCAAGTGGCATACTAAATTGACTATGATATTAGCTGTGGGATTTTCCTGCATTAGGGAATGGCAACCCATACCCAATTTGGGTTCTACCAAACCTTGAGCAGGGTCAGATGAGTCGTCAAATAGTTTTCAAAAACTTGAATAAAGTTTTGTTACATATGCCATTCTTATGTATTCTATTTTTCAGATTGTTTCTTCAATTACATCAAAATGTGGCATTTTAATTGTTAAATTTCTAATTTATCAATTTGCGAAAATAAGGTAAATTATGTACATGGAGGATGTACGAGGCACCCCATTTGACCCTAAATTTCCTTGACCCATGCTTCTTGATAAGTTGCTCCAATCAAAGTTTACCAAAAAATAAATAAAAAATCTTTATTTCATGCAAGTTTGAGGTAGCCAAGATATCTTAATTTTAAACATGCTATTCTTATGAATGTGAAAAATGTTGGACATCAAACATGAATGATCCACAACTATGTAACCCTATTCCTAATGGATTGACCAAAAATAGCATGTTTAAAATTAAGAAAACCCACAGAAGCCACAATTGTGAAATTAGTGTCATGCAAATATTTATATGTCCAATTAAAACAAATGGGTGTGGGTTTGAGGTTCCAATTCCAATTCGACCTCCAGGCCTCATTAGCACATACCAAATATTTATGGTGAGAAAATACTCAAGATTAACAAACTGGACATATTTTCAGTGTTTATTTCTCAAGTTCTAGTCCAATCACAAGTAATATCTTAAACTGAGTAACTCCTTGTATATAGGCAACATAACCCTAGGTTAAAAACTTAGGAAGCAAACATTAATTAAAAAGTAAAAGATAACAAATTATCAGATAAAATTATATATCTTATGATTTTTGTTTGAGTTATAAAACATTAAATAATTAGAGAAAAAGAAACTAAATGGTAATTAAATGTCAAGGAATTGATAAATAATTAAATATAACACTTACAACCATCTCACCACTGAGAGAAAATTATAGATGCAATAAGAAAGAACAATCAAGAAAGAATGTGTGTTGTGTGTGTTCTTTGGGGGATGCAAGGGGAGAAAACTAATAAATGATAAAGTCAATAGAGATGTAACTTCCACAGGACCAAACAGATATGAAAATTGTCAATAGATGAGACAATGGATCAGTGGTGAATAAGGCAGTCAACAAAAACCAATATAAATATTCAGTCAGAAGGGATTTTCATGTTGGTAATGAAAGGGAACTTCTATTATTGTTGTGACTGTGGCACAGGTACAGGAGGTCAGGACTGGCATTCTGACGGGCACACCATATATCTTCTAAGTGGAAAACAACCTCTTCCCATCCATCATATTCTTCTTTTTATTGGTACAATCTATCAAATTCTTTTAAATTATCAGAGAACAAAATGGCAGTCGATACTTAAAAATAAGATGCAATGCACCAAGTATCAGGGAAGATGGGTTCCTTTCAAATCCCCATCACTAAAATACATGGACAAGGGGGTATGGATGCATAAAGGTCAAAGAAACCTGCACACTCACAAGAGAGAAAAAGAGAGAGAGAGAGAGAGAGAGAGAGAGAGCATCCAACAGAACTGAACAAAAAAAAAAAAAAAAAACAGGACAAACACAGTCCAAAATAAATGCAACAGCTCATATGAGAGACCTACACCGGAGACATGATAAGTTTCAAATGAAACAGATATAATTTGCTAATCCAATGAGGCACAAGAATAAGAAAATATAAAGATAATTGGTTCTTCAGAGAACTCACAATTTCCAAATAATTGCAGTTGAGTTGAGGTGTTAGAATCATACTGGAACCGGTTTTCCTCAAGGAGAACAGGAAAGACTGGATTACTGCTATTACCTCCAAACATCTTCCTACAAGAAGAAAATCGTATCATCATAATAGAAGAATTGATTTGACATCTGAACTATCAGAGGCAGGCAAAATATCTCAAGTTTAAAGGCTTTGCGTGAGAAATACATGGGGACTAGTACTTAAAGCGAGATCTGCCTGAGATAGAAAGTAACTTAAATTAACAATATAGAACACCAAAAGAAACAATCTCAAGCTGTAAATGTAACATCAAGATAAAAGGAACTCAGACTGAAGTGGTGGAAAACTGTGTTAGTTTTGTTTTATAGACAGCTAGGAATTAGGATGTACTTTTGATGATCAGATTCAGATTCTTTTATCACTGAAGAATCAAGATACATTTAGAAAGCCCAGTCAAGAAATAAGAAATCTTGCTACCAGCTGTTCCGCTTATCAAGTGAACCCAATAAGATTCAATACTAAGTTGATAGAATATGTAGAAGGAAAGGCTAATTATAACTACATAAACAGACCTACGATTTTTGTTTCAACATAAAAGAAGCAGGAGGGAACCTACATAGAATTTTTTTTTTCTTTTATCAATAAAATTAACACGATTTTTACAGTGGATATGGCTTTAAATAGAATGGATTGGCAAAACAGGATTCATGTAGCCGACCCCATATAGTTGGGGTCAGCCATGGATGATGATGGTGATGAATAAAATTAACGCGATCCTCAAATAGGATGGAAAACATGAAGACGGCATTAAGAAAAACAGAGCCTCCGATAACTACCATGAAAACGCCAACGAAGAAATCCAATATAAATTTTACGGTCTACTGTAGATATCTGTTTATAACTGGCATCCCAAAGAACGAAATAATCATAATATGAAAAGAAAAATATGTCATTGTATTGCTGTTTTAGAAACGAAAGAAGAAATCGATGACCCAAAGGAACTTTACAAATCACCTAAAAAATATAACTATGTGATTCAGGACTTCATTAATTCAAGAAAGAAGTAATTGCACCATAGCACCAATCCTCGATAGTCGATCCCAAAGATCACACCAAGAAGACTCGAAAACATAGAAGGAAAAGAAGAAAAATCGTATATCGGCAACAACATAGAAACAGAACAGCAAAAACTAGTAAATCCAAATCCATACCTCCAAACGTCAGGTTTCCCACGGAGATTCAATCGTGTATAACCTCTCCGGACATTGATCTGAATGGCAGAATCAAGAGAAGGGGAAAAAAGAAGAACAGTTAATGCACTAACAACACGGCAGATAGAAATTAAGATCGAAACGTAAAGCGATACGAATCTTGGAGTCGAATTTGGTTTCCACAGAAAAAATGGAATCCGTTACAGAAATAGCTTTCGGGTCTGAGGGTCCAATACTTGCGAGCAGAAGAAGGAACGAATAAGTTTCGGAATTCGGAATTGATCGTTTTAATTTTGATTTTATTCGGCTACGTTTGGCTGCAATGCAATATTTTATTTGAAATGAAAATAATGCAAATTTTTGGTTGAACTTTGTTATGAGTATTACTTCATTTATAATGCAATCCAACAAGATGATTTGCGGGAAATGCTACGTACTCTGTATCACAGGGGACCTGCGGTAATTGTTAACGTGGGAAGGGAGGTGTGAAACAGTAATGATACTTTTAAGGCAATAATGAGATAGTAGGAGTATAGTTAGTCAATTTCTTAAATCTTAGGAATAATTTAAGAAGTTTATCCTTTTTTAACATATAATTATTTTTAAATGCTATTAATAATATAAAAATGAGAAAACATTAATAAGAAAATATTTTCTTGAACCACAACTTTTTCAATGCAAGTTAAATTTTTTGCTTTTTGGAAAAACACCCAACCAAATAGTGAGTGTCTTTAAAAAAACATATTTCAAACGTGACGCTAATGTGGTGTCATTTTTTAAGAAAAAGGTTGGTACCATTTTGACATTTTAACCATTGCTTGCAACGGTAGTTTGAGCTGACATCAACGTGGCAGTCGACATTGCAGCCCAAACAAATGATCCAATGCATTGCACTGTACCATAGATGAGCCTAGATTAGACAAAATTGTACTACCCCTGTCATCATGAATGAACATGCCATATAAATGGGGCTCATATGGGCGTGATAAGTAGCCGAGCTCGGTGTGTCTCCAACTCATTCGCTCATTTTTAACTCGACTAAGAAAGATCGCTCCTCTTCACTCATGTTAATTTTCCATTTTGCTCAAGTGAGAAGATGACAAACCATCGCCAGTGGCTCTCTTGTTCATTGATTTTCGTTTTCCATCAAAATAAATAAAAAACCTCATTTTTCTGTTTCAAGTACAAGTACAAGAGAAATCAATCACTTCTAAGAAATATGAGATAGTGGAAACCTCATTGATGTGCACAGTAAGATTTATAATAAATAGAAGAACTATTAACTTGCTACACATCAAGAAGCAGAAAGGTTCTGCCTTGTGAGGTATAAGGGAGAGCCTTGTGGAACCTCGCAAAAGTGGTAATTAAATCTCGTGAAACTGCCTCACGAATCAAACTTGTAAGAGTTGTAGCTAAGGATGAGCATTTGGTTAATTCGGTTAAAAAACGAATAAAATAAATCGAAATTTTAAAAATCAAAATAAAAGAAATGAAAATTGAATTACAAGAAAATTAAAATAATCTAAACGGAAATTTTTGGTTTGATTTTTGGTTATTTGGGTTAAAAACCAAATTTAATTAATATATAAAATATTATATATTATAACCTATAATATATATTATGAAATTGAATTTTATTATAATACATTAATATTATAAATATAAATCATATTATATATTACATACTATATAATGAATTTTAGTTAATTGGATTTTTTCGATTAACCGGATTTCTAGCTCTGAAACCGAAAATTGAAATCCCTAAAAACCAAACTAACCGAACTGAATTATCCAAAAACTAAAAAAAAGAAAAAAACTATAACCGAAATTTTTGATTTAGTATTTCGGTTTTAACCGAATAATGCTCACCGCTAGTTGTAGCCAAATCGCATGACTAATTTTTTACTTGCAAGGCCACACCTGCTCATGTCTTGTGAGTTGAGCCTCTCATAAAGCTAAACCAATTTCACCTCGTGAAGCCAAATCAGGAGCACAACGTAGGCTATCCTATAGGTGTCAAATGCATGATCAGTGCCCAAGGAAACCACAACTGTTTGTACCCAAGTGTTGTACCGACATACATCACTCTCTGGTAGAGTCTTAGATCCTGCTCTAACAACCTTGTAGTCGTAAGAGACACGTATCCCAAGAAGATAAGCATACCAGATTTGTTCCCAAACACGTCCTGAGTTTAAGAATATTATAAAATTCTTTCTTCAAGCAACGCAATCCATCCCCTGACTTCTATAAATAGGGAAACCATCCTCTTATGAAGAGAATCTAATCTCATTCTATTCTTAACTAAACTCCATTTCCTTTCCCCTTGGTTACATCTTTTTATATGCTTCTAAGACTTCAAATTCATCCTTATCCTAAATCAACTTACAAGAAAATTATTGGAAGATTTTTCATTTGAGATTTACAAAATGATTTTCAAACTTCTATCACTTTTGTATACAATCATCATTTTATCCATGTTTTATTTTTACAAATAAATTAAGGAAGGTATGAGGTACATAAAATATTTCGAATAAGATTAATAAATCCTATTAAACCACATACATATCACTATTGAGAATCTAATCCATTAGAATTCATTAATTCAACATTCACATATTAAGGCTGCGTTTGAATGTGGTGTAAAAGTAAAATTACACCGATGGAGTTGTACACTGATCGGTTTAAATGAAAAGTGGAATTATCAATGTAAACATTTGCATCGTTTTTTATCAAAATTGTATTGATGTAAAACTCAATGTGTGTGAAGTTTTACATTAATTTTCGATGTTTAACTACACTCCATTCAAATGTTAACAAAACCGAACCAAAGTGTTTAATTACACTGCAAACAAATTCAGCCTAAACAATTTCAGGGTCCCATAATTTTACATAGATTACCTTCTTGTTTCCAGGTTGGTGCCCATATGACCAAATTTCCCATCTCTTTATGATTGAGCTCATTAATTAGAAAATGTAAAAGAAATCATCTAATCGGGAAACTTGTCTTAGCTCTGAACAAATAACCTTCAACTTTGGGGATAATGAGCACAAAATTTTGTAATTATGATTTTTGCACTCCCATGTGATACGAAATTTGTAATTCTTGTTACATTTATACTCTTCGGTAGTGCAAATTTTGCAACTTGATACTGATGCAAAAATTTGCACCACATTCCTCTTACCTCAATTCTCTTTCTCAATAAGGGGGATCACATCATCTTTCTTTCAAACAAATAACCCTCTTCCTACATCCATTCTGTTTCATACATTCAGCTATTTGTACTTCCATGCATTTAGACCAATAGGGATGAATTTTGCACTAAAAATAAACAGAACCTTAGGCTCCGTTGTGAAGAATCAGCAAAATGCAAACAAAGTCATGTGTATGAACCTTATATACTTGTATTTGCATTCTTCTCGAACAGAGCCTTAAGAACTTTCCCTTGATTTGTTTATTTTTTTTATTTCTCTCGTACTTTCAATCAAACCAAACATAGCCTAAGATTTCAAACTCGTGGTTCCAAAGTAAAGAACAGAACACTCATTTGCATGCCCCACGAATAATGCAACAAGTTATTCAGTGCGCAATGTGCAATTACCAAAACTAAATAATTAGGAAGTTTGTGATATTAGAAAAGCCTCCATTATTGTGGTCAAGGTGCTTGGTTTAGAAGGGCAAATGAGGCATTTGAGGAACAAAATAGAGGGTCAGCCATTCCGGTGACTTGAGGTAGATGCAAAGGAATTCGGTGCCATGGACCATTAAAACTTCCTCCTTACCCCCTTTTCTCGAAAGTAGTAGTTGCAGGATTTGATTCTGTCTCAATACTGGAACAAACCAATTAATGCAAAAGTAGATTAATGAATAATAGGGCATTATAGTCATTTTAGTTATATTTATTTACGTTAATGTTTAGATTGTTAAGCAGAAGCTTTTTGTTTTAACCCAAAAAAAATAAAATAAAAGTTAAAGCAGAAGTGCAGGAGCAGGAAACCGTGGTGGTCGGTCCGAGGCACATTCATCAGACTAAGCAACTAAAGAAAAATCAGGAAGAAGAAGAATCACGACTGGGGCGATGGATGAGTGGCTGAGGGCCTAAGGCTGGAGCGAGAGAGGGAGCAAATCACGTGGGTGCACTCGGAATTATTATCACATCTCTATCCATAGAGCACTATCACCTTGTATTGGTAACATCTTCTCATGAATGATATTGGAGATATTCTTAATGTATAATTATATATTTTGTGAATAGAGATGATGCCATAATTTATGGGTAGCAGATCGAACCACACCCGGTGGCCCATACACGTCACCTCCTTGCTGGGTTGACTTGGCAGGTAGATGAATCTTGATGGGTGAGCTGATGGAAGCTTGATTAAGACTATAAGACATGGATAGTTGGTCTATGAATCACGGGAAACATATAAACCAACGCCTTGCAATGAGCTCGGTCTCCTACCCACAGGACACTACAATTAACATCTTCCATGTTTACATATTACCATCCATGGGAGATAGTCCCAATGTACAGCTGTAGTCTCCTATGGATTCTTGTGGGTGGAAGATCGAGATTCCCTCGCAACTCTCAACTCTCAGTCCTTGGTCTTGCTTCTGCTTCTTTCTTTTTTACAAATGATCCAGTGAAACTAAATAACCGTTATCCTCTCCGGATTAGCTTATATGATATCGGATTTGCTTATAACCAATCAGCTGGTATGATAAAAAGGTAACCAATAAGGTAGGTGGGTTTGAGGTTTTGATTGATGAAAGCTTTTTTGGTTTCATTAGTGGAGAAGCCCGTGCAATGCATGGGTGAAAATGAATGAAAAAATAGTAGTTAAAATTATAACTAAATTCATTAATGTAAATTAAATATGATAAAGAAAATACAATTTGGGATGAAAATATGGACTTGACCCCAAGTTGGGAAGAACTTGGATTTAGGCCATTAGAAAGTCGTTCGATTGATATTTGACAATTTATGATTATTTCTTTACTATTACTTTCTCATTTGTTTGTATGTGTGTTATCTACTATCTTTCATGCCTTTTTTTGTATTGTATCTAACTTTTACTTTTCTCTACTTCATCAGAAAATATAAAGTGGGTTGTGTCTTGCCAATACAACACGATTTTGCAGGTTGTCTATGCTTTAATAGGTCGTGCCATGCCAACACGTGGTCCTAAGTGAGTCGTGCCCTACCTTATGAATTTTGATGTATACAATTGTTTATATATGAAATTAAAAAAAAATACAATATAATTTGAATAAAATAGTATAATAAAATTGAATATATATATATATATAGGCATGTTCTGTGATGGGTTGCGGGCC